ACTGCTCCAAAGAATGCACTGGCTACTGTACAAGTGAATGTTTTTTTTTAACTGGTTATCAGTATGGATACAAAATTTGGATACCATTTGATTCCAGCACAGAAGCGTGTTTTTTACCTGCACTCTCGAAGTCTGATCTTGTCATTCAAATAGTGTGGACTCATCAGACAAGTGACAAGGTTTGGATGTTTTCGGTGGCTTTTGGACATTGTGTTCTCTGAACAGTATTGTGACTGACAGATATAACCTAGAAAGTCAGTTTAGTGGCTCTGACTGATGGCTTTGTCATGCAAGCAGGGTGGGAACAAAAGGGGCTTCAAGCTTCAGCATTTATTTTGCCGTTTGAAAATAAATCAAAGATGCTACTTTTCTCTGTTTAAGTGGGATGACTGAATTGCTGAAGTTAAACTAATAGACATTTAGAATTATGTTTTAATCCATTATCAGAAGATCCATTACAAAAAAAGCAGGATGAAGATTTGGCTTTTTGGGCTATGGGATAACTCCATTGATGTACTTGGCCATCTTTCTAATGTAATTTTCCCACTCTGCTTGAGTAGAAGATCAAATATGTAGTAAATCATGTCTGTCTCTCTGTAAGATGTATCTAGTGAAATTATGTTTCTCAGACATACTGTTATAATTATCTTTTCTAAATTTGTTGTTATGCAAATGAATGCAATCAATGTAGACTTATTTTTGCAGCACACCTTCCAACCACTGGACAGCATTTCCCTTTCTGATCCACGGCTTCTAGAATATACTGACATAGCATTTGAGGGCTTTTTGCTTTTTCCCTAAAGATCTGTATTTATTTTTTTTACACGGGCCAGTTTTTGGACTGCTTATTCTTTAAGATTGTTCTGTGATCTTAAATACTGAAGCAATGAGCGTGGAGTTCATTTGCATTTTTTCTGTGATTTTTGTTTCTTTCCTGTAAAGAATGGCCTCGGAAAGGCAGCTTGAATGAGGAAAAACCTCTTGCTACCTGAGCCATAGTTTTCTTAACAGCTACTGTATGGGGAGTGTGTCTTCTTGTAGCCTTAAGAACTGGTGCTTGCAGATCTCTTGTGATGAGCACTGTGCCCTTCAGTAACAGGCTGCAGAATTTGTCCTCAGATTTGGAACTGTGTCCTTTAACTCTGGAAACAGTTGATTTAATTCTCCAGGACCGTGTTTAGGTATATGCAGGTCACACAAACCAGTGATGGACACTGTGGGACAGCCAGCAGTCCGAATGTGGATGATTCTGTTACCACAGTGCTTTTTAATAGGCTACTAAAAATATGATAACTAACTCCTGACTGTAAATTACAAGACACAGAAGAACTACTGTATTCCATGTACTTCCTCTTTGTGTGTGTGCACCTTCTCCAGGCACCATCCAGTCCTCTTGCTTTTGATGCTGAGCTTCAGTCTAACGGCGCTGTCCCAGTAAAGCTGGTGCACCAGACTGGGAGGCAGTTTTGTGGCTTTAACAAAACAAAAAGCATTGTTTCTTCTTTTTCTTCTGTCTTTCAAGGATTTTTGTCCCATTTTCAGGATATTTAAAGATTTTTGTTCAAATCCAGTGTTCCCTTGCCCCCCTTTTTCTCTTTGATCCTGTATGTGAACCACTCTTGGAGAAACTGGAGAATGGTCAGCAGTTCTACTCCAGTGCTCATACCTGGTGTAGAGCTTGAAGGAGAAACAGATTCTACTTGTCTGGAGAAAAATGATTTTAAGGTGTCTCTGAAGAGGGAAACAAACCAGTATAGCTTTTATCAGAGTAGTTACTTGAGCATAACTACCCATATGGATGTTCTTATTCCAGAAAAATAGCTTTATTCTGGATGAAATAGAAAAAGTTTCTCCTATGTGTAGATCATAACAGAATATGATATAAAATATGAACAACGCATCCTTCCCCCTCCTAAGCTCATACCACATGAAAATGCTTTTTAGAACAGGTCCATCCATCTGCAGACCTGTCAGGAATGTGGTGTCCTGTGGAATGAGGTGTGGCCTCAGAGCCCCTGGCACTTCATGCCACTTCTTTCTCCCTTGCTTCCACATTCGTTCCTTTAACTGTTGCATTGCAGTGACTTACTCCAAGGAGCAGAGTGGCTGGGATTCCCTTGTTGCTGCACATCTGTATTTCCAGGGATTCCTTTGTTGCTGCACAACTCTAGTTCCCGTGTTTCCCTCGTTCCTTGGCTCTGGCAGAACCCATCGTTTGCACTGACACGTTGCTCACTTGTCCTCAGCTCCGTGTCGCCGTTAGACAGGAGTTGGCTGCGTAGTCTGTGTTCGTAGCAGGAACCAAAAGTCTCATGAAGAAAATAAACATCTGCTTCCCGTGCCTGTGATGCAAAAGCCAGCTGAGCGTGTGTGCAGCTGGCAGCAGTGTGGGGACTGTGCTGTGGAGCAGACTGTACTGTGAAAGGAGATCACTGCGTGTGGTGTCTGCCCTCGAGCAACGGGACACCTCATGTTCAGTTCAGGGATCTTACTGGGTTTTATACACCCTTTTTTTCTTGTTTTTAATGCTCATCCTGTATAAAAGCCCTTTAACTGCAACCTGAACAGAGGTTAGAAGAGACATGTAAAAATCCTCTCTATACCCCAGGACATTGGAGAATCTTAATTTTCTTCACGTCAGAAGGGTTTTGATGATGCAGGAAAACGTGCATGCTGTATGTTCTAGATCTCTTGTAGCCACTTCTCTCACATTTTCACTGTTAAGCCATTCTCTCTCTACTTTCTTTATCTTCTTTTGAAAGTCTTATCTCTAAACAAAGGCATATTTGATCCTGGATTTTATTGACACTGTTGGGTCCAAACCCTGTGTGAGCAGGAAGCAAAGCCTTGTTGTGAACCAGTGAGCGGAAGGTGAGATAGTGATTGCATTTTTCAAAGCACTGTTTTAGCTGAATGTCAGGACAAATGATATTGGAGAAATTGTTTTCTCATTTAAAATGGCCTGGGAAACAGAATTTTGATTTGCCCTTCAATATGCTTAGCTTTAAACCAGTTTAAAATTATTTAAAGGTGTTTGGTTTTTTTATACAAGACCATATTTACATGCAATTATTATTTGTAAACATAATGCCTTTCTTGAAATGCTAAGGTCTAGAATGAAAAGGATGGCCAATATTGAAAGCCTCTATTCAGAATAAGCATGAGCAGTGATTTGACTTGAAGTTGAGGAAAATAAAATGTGGTTTATTGAACTTCCAGATTTTCCACTTAGCTTTTACTGAAGTGATGATTCTGTGCTGGTAAGGCAGATGTTACTGTGTATTCAGCTACCCAGATCATTACACTAAAAGTACAAGCAATAAGTTAAGGCCAAAATGATTTCCATTTGGGCACAAAATGCAGTTGAACTTTTATTTTCATAGCAGTGATGCCTCATGACTTGAATTGTGATTTTTGTTTTTTAATTTTTAAATTTTTTGGGGGCACAATTTTGATTTGGCTCAAGGGCACTGCTCAGTGCAGTGACCGCCTCCAGTCAGCTGCTGCAGATGAGTTTTTGGAAGGTTCAAGTTTTTAAAATAAGGAATTGTGAAAAAGGTTGTGAACTGAAACACAGAAGACAAAATTATTAAACTGTTCACTTGGAACTTTAAAAAACTACATAATGATCTAGACTTTATCATTTCAAAGTGTTTTTTCTTTTTAGAATATGCATGCCAAATGTCTTGTCTTTTTCAATGATTTGTAATATACATTTTATGACTGGAAACTTTTTGTACAACACACTCGAATAAATGTTTTGCATTTTACTGGTTTCCTTCTTTCTTTTAACCAACCTAGAGGCCATGTGGCCTGTTTGAGATGATTCATCCCCGGGGGGACCTTCCTGTGTGGAGAGAGAGAGAGAGAGAGAGGACACAAAGAGCTGTCCCTGCTCCTAACACTGATCAGCTGAGTGTGTCCCAGCGGGAATCGAAGGGTGTCCCATCAGGGATTTTGGGGTGTCCCAGCAGGGATCACGGGGTGTATTCCAGAATCAAAGGAGTGCTTTCCTTAAACGGGACGCAGTGCTGGTGGAAAGTGCTGTCCTCTCCGATCAGCAGGAACAAAAGCAGCAGGAAGAACATCAGGAGCTGGAGCAGGAAACCATCCCCTTCTTATCACCCTTGCACTGAAGGCGTTTTTCCATTTTAACCTGCTTGATCCTGACGTGAGAATGAGAGCAGATACCGACCTCTGGCTGGGATGGATTCTTAGGATGGGCAGGAGCGTTGCTGTGCAGCTTCCAGCCCACTTTCCAGTCCGTGCTGATGAAACTGTACCTTAGGCGGCTGCCCCATCGTTAGCACCGGCTGATGATGCTCCTGCGAGGTGTCCGAATGCCTTCTGTTTGCAGTGGACAGATCGACAGACAGGATGACACGGTTTGCAGTACCCTGCCTGTGGGCTCTAGCCAGTGAAGACGAGAGCAGTTTGGGCTTTAGCTCTGCTGTCAGTTCCTTCTCTCATACCAACTCTTTCCCTCACATCCCATCTTGCCCCCGTGGTGTCGCCTCCCATTTGCTTCCACCGCGTTCCAGAGCGTTCTTACTTAACGGAGGAGACCGCAATGGAATTGAGGCAGAATTAAGGGCACGAGCCTCTCCCCCGAGTCACGTAAGGCAGAGGAAACGATCGGCATCGCCTGGAAGGGTGAATTCCAGAGAGAACCCACAGAGAGCTGCTCTCTGCGGGGAGCCCAGCTCAGACCGCTGGTGTTCCGCCGCAGGGCAGCCGGGCAGCGTTCGGTTTAAAGCCCCTTGATGCTGCCGGTTTAAAGCCCCTTCCCCTCGCCCCTCCATGGGGCTGCGCTGAACGCCGGGACTCGAACGCTGTGTCTGACTCGGGCCCGGCCCGACCCTGCCCTGGGGAGTCCCTTCGGAGCTGGCCGGGGGTCGGGGCCGGCGGTGACACCCGCGCTGGGCACACGGTCCCCGCGGCCCCGCTGAGGCGCCGCCGGCGCGCTCGGTTCGGCCCCGCCCGGCGCGGGGCCCGCCGGGAGCCGCAGTCCGGGCGCCGCCATTTCGCCGGCAGCGCGGGCACTGAGGGCATGGAGAGCGGCTTCGGCTCCGACTTCGGCTCCGGGGGCGGCGGCGGGGGGAAGCTGGACCCGGGGCTCATCATGGAGCAGGTGAAGGTGCAGATCGCCGTGGCCAACGCGCAGGAGCTCTTGCAGGTCAGGAGGGGCGGCGGGCGCGGGGGGCTGGCTCGGTCCCGGTCCCCGTCCCCGGCCTCGTCCCGCTCCCCTCGCGGCCGGAGCCCCCGGGCCGCGGTGCCGCTCACGGGCTCTCTCCGCAGCGCATGACGGACAAGTGCTTTCGGAAGTGCATCGGGAAGCCCGGCGGCTCCCTGGACAACTCGGAGCAGGTGAGGGCGGGCGGGAGGACCGCGGACCCGCGGTGCCCGCGCCCGGGGCGGCCGCTGAGGCTTTTGTGTCCCGCAGAAGTGCATCGCCATGTGCATGGACCGGTACATGGACTCCTGGAACACGGTTTCCCGAGCCTACAATTCCCGGCTGCAGCGGGAGAGAGCCAACATGTGATGATGCGTTCCGGGCCAGGAGGGACCATGTGGGGAAGGGACGAGCGGCCAGTCCAGGTGGTTGGGGGTGAATCCTGCTGCCTTCCCAGCCCCTGCCGTGGCAGAGCAATAAACCCTCGCTAAACCTTTTGCATCCATTGGCCTTTATTAGCACCAGACCCAGGAGCGAGTGATTTTTTTTTCCAGCCTTGAGAGCCACCGTGAGCTGCTTGATTTACTTCTTGCCCTTCCCAACCGTCCAGACTGGCCAAGGCATTATAGCACTTGATAAATCCCTGCTGAAAGGGCGGCGAGAGGCAAGGAGCCTTCTGTGGAAAAGAGGGGCCAAGCCAAGCCAGCAACACAGTCCCTTTGCCCGGGATTCCAGCATGGACCCAGCCATCAGGTAGTTACCCAGTCCTTTTTCATCAGTAGAAAAGCTGCCATGATATTCTCCACATGCCACCTGGACTCTTTCTTCCCTTGTATCTGTGTATCTCTGTGTGGGGCTCACTTTGGGCTCATAGGGTTTGACTCAGCACAAGCACAGTGTTGGGGAACGGGTTGCAGCACAGCCTTGCAAATAGTTGTGCCAGCACAGCTGGGGGGATGGACAGGGTTGGGAAGTGGATGGATTAATTTCTTTACAGAATAAAGTACTCGGGTTCATTTCTTTATAGAATAAAGTGTGTTGTGTTGCTGTGATATTCTCTGACTTCTGGTTTGGCTCTGGCATAGACGTTCCATCTTGGAGCCTGCCTTCTAGGCATCATTTTTTTGAGGGAGGAGCATGTCTGCAACAGAGAACTGTGGGTCTGCTTTGGTGCTCAACTCTGTATTAC